AATTCTCATATTCCTTCTAACAGTATTCAAAACACTAAAAATTTTTGAAAACACACACATAAAAATGATATGTATGACAATAACCAAACACCAAAAAAATTAGTACTTAATTCTTTTTCGGTTTACAACTTCTTCTAAGCTAGGGATTGGCAAATATTTTCTGTCAAGAGCCAGGTGGCAAATATTTTAGGTTTTACAGGCCACACATTCTCTGCTGCAACTGGACAACTCTTCCCTTGTAGCGTGAAAGCAGCCAGAGACAATATGTAAATGCATAGGTGTAGTTTATTGTGTTCTTATAAAATTTTATTCACAAAACAAGCAGCAGGCTGGATTTAACCTAAGGGCCATAGTTTGGCTGACTCACGAGATAAGGCCTTAAATTTTGGACACAATTTTTTATTTTTGACTTTTTCTAATGAGCAATTTCAATCATATACAAGAGTTGAAAGATTAGTGAAATGACTTGTCAGTATCCATTATCTGGCTTCATCAGTTATCAACTTAGGACTAACCTTGTTCCATCTAACTCCTTACCTATGTCCCTTCTTCCTGTGCTATTTTAAAATATGTCCCTTTGCTATTTTAAAGCAAATCCTTGAGGGGAGGGTATAGCTCTGTGGTAGAGCACATGCTTAGCACGCATGAGGTCCTGGGTTCAACCTCCAGTACTTCTATTAAAAAAATAAATACGTAAAATTTAAAAAATAAATAAACCTAATTACCTCCCTCTACCAAAAAAAATCATGGAATGCTTTTAAAGCAAATCCTTTTTATTTTATTCATAGGTATTTATATTCATTTCATCCATGAATATTTCAGTGTCTCTAAAAACATAGCTATAACATAATCATCATGCCTAAGAACATTAACAATATAAATATTTTTAAATATATGTGATTGAATCAAGAGCCTAACAAGATCCATTTTCAATTGATTGATTTGTCTCAAGTCTCTTTTACTCTATGGGTTCCCCCTCTGTCTTGTTTCCCTTATTCAATGTATTTAATGAAGAACTTGGATGATTTGTCCTTTAGAAGTTCTCATAGGCTGGACTTTGATTATTGAGTCCTAATGGTGTCATTTAGTGTACTCCTCTGTCTTCTAAATCTTCTATGAATTGAGCTTTAGAGACTTGATGAGATTCTAGTTTAAGTTTTTGATAAGAACACTTTCCATGTGGCATTGTGTACATCCACCAGGAGGCCCATTTTGTGTAGTGCACAGCTATTGATGACCATTGTCTAGAGCCATTGATTTATTAGGAGTGACAGAATGGTCAGACAGAATAAGAGAAAGGGAAGATCAAGACAGAGCAGAATGGTAACATTCTTCCTTTACTTACTGGAGGTAATATTTCGGTAAAGAGAAATGTTCCCTAAACAGCTATTTAACTTTCCTGATAGTGTTGGTATATGGAAAGTGGGATGAATACATGATTTCCCCCTTTGTTTGGCAGACTTTTCAATAATTACTTGTTTCTCTAACATCCTCCAAAGGTGACCAATGAATTTCTTTCAAATGGGTATCTCCTTAAACTACAGTATTTACAGTCAGTAAAATATTGTGTCTTGCAGCATCATTACCTGCCAAGTGGAGAGAAAAAGGAAGGCAGTTAATGTAATTACTGTCCCCACAGTGATGATTCACGTATTATCTGTCTAATTTCTGTAACAGTAGGTCTCCTGCCACAGACCTATTGAGCCAGAGTCTCCAGGGGTAGGTCCTGGCCTCTGTGCATTTAAAAATCTTCCTGAATGACTCTGAAGCATGGTGTGCAGCCCAGCCATTGAGCATGTCAGCCCCAGATGGCTGCTGAAGTTCACCCCA